CTGAGTCCAAGTATATCTAGATTATAAGTGGTAAAAAAAAATTTCAATTTGAGACATTTTTTCTTTGGAAATACAGCTTCTGATATTTTGAGTAGCAAAGGAAAAAAAAATTAGGGTTGTTGAAGTGAGAATAAAAATTGACATTTGTTAATATTTTTTTATTATTATTAAGGTGAACTTGCTGAACACCGTTATTTTGATTAGATTGGTGTACACTCATTAATTGGATGATTTGACACTTGAATCATGGTATGTAAAGCACTCGAAATTTCTCTGATTTCAGATCTAATGTCGTTGACAGAGGTTTTAACTAAAACAATGCAATTAAGGTCGTTCGTTTGGGAATTAGATAAGTTGTTAAAAACCATGTTAGATATAGATTCATTTTGGTCTTGGTTAGTAACCAGAGGATTATTTGGCACACATTCCATTTCCTCATCACCATTGTGAAGGGAAAATTTATATGTGGGATCATTGATTTGATTAGAGTCATGTACAACATAGTGCATAAATTCGAGACGATTGAGATGAAAATCAATGTCTTTTTGGTTTTGGTCTTGCTTAATAGCTGCATTTTTTAGGGAAACTATCTCATCATCTATTGAGATAAGTTTGTTTTTAATGACATCAAGTTTTTCTTGGAAAACTTTAAGGGCGTCAACCATATTGGAAGGAACATTGCTTGTCTTTTCTTGGGAGGGAATAGGTTTTTTAGGATCAGTAAGTGTTTGAGAGTATGATTTGGACGGGTCACCGTTATTATTGTTGAATGATCTTGGAGGACGGTATTGTTCTGGTTTGAAACGATCATATAAGGGATGATAAGGATTGGTAGGTTTGCGATTAGTACAATTTTTGAATTCTTGATCAGAGGCGTCACAACTTCTACAATGTTTTTTTGAAGGTGTCATTCAGTATAAGATTTTCCTTGGAATTTCTGAGATTGTGAAGCAGCTGCTGCAATATCTTCAGCACTAGCAAAATTTATAAAGGCATATGGTCTAAGTCTATATTGTTAGTCACATGAGATGAAACAGGATTTGGCATTGATGTGAAGTAAAAAGTTAATAAGTTGTCATTGATCAGTGTTGAAAGGTAATCTGGTAAGTTTGAGTTCAAACTGTTGTCTCAATGCCGTTTGTGTGGGGTTGAGATCTGTTGGTTCTACTTTAAGTAGAAATTCTAAAAAAGTAACGGACCAAGCTCAATCGTAAAAAGCTTTAATGAAATCAGATTCTTCGAAAATAATGAAGGTGATCTGCCAGGGTCCACGGATAATCATTAAGAAACAAAGATCTTTTTATATTTAGTAAAGTAATTTCTAACAACGTCTGATTTAATAAACAAAGAAATATCAGATACTTTTATGGTTCGGCCTTTTTCAGTATCTTGTCTTTGTTATTTGACTGTAGGATCAACAATAGTAAAAATAGGATTATGTTGTGTCTCTTGTGTCTTTGTAAGTGCATTTTTAGGGAGTCCATCGTGTCAAAGTATATAAAGAATTTTCTAATTTTAGAAATATAAGTTGTACCTTATTATCCATTGTAATGAATGAAAAGGGAGTTGACAAACGTATGTTTTTCAGCAATTGAATTTCCTTTTATGTCTGAGGCATTATCTATCGCGTAGAAACGCATGGGTGCAGTAATAATATTGAAAGAAATTTCTTGAATATCTTGATCACGTGTTTTATCTTTGTTTTTCATTTCTTCTGATCATGTATCTTCTTTTTGTTTACCTTTGTTAGTAATAACCTGGTTTGTAATTGGATGAAAGACATCATTATTGTTATTGTAAGAACTGGAATCAGAAGCGTGCATAGAGTCATTAGTCATATCTTTAGCGAAAGAAAAATAAGTTTCTTTATCATTTGCGTCTGTAGAAGTTGAGTCAATATCCATGACTTCCGAAGTAGTATGTTCAATTGTTGAATCATTATTAGGGGGAATAAAGTCATGTTCAGTAATAATATTGTTAATAGTTTGTTCCAAAGGAGTTTCTATATTTTGGAAAAAATTGTTAGAAAAAAGTTTAATTTTTTTCAGTTGTTCAGTCTATTCAGTAAGTAAGGTTTGTTGGCTGGAGCTAGAAGAAGTGTTGTCGTTCATGTTGTTATTATTTCTTTTATTATTCGAAAGAGTTTGAGAGTTTTTATTAGCGTTTTTATTTTTCGTTTGTCTAGTTATTGGCATTTTTTGTTATTTTTGTAAAAAAGGGGAAAGAGTTTTTTTTTTAAAATTAAAGATGTTTTAAAAAAAAATAGACAAAAAAAATTTTTTTTAAATATTTTATTTCGTTTAATTTGATTGGTTAACCTGAATTTATCAGGTCAGGTCATAAGCTTAACCCGACCTGATGTTAACCTGAAAATTTGTCTACCTGACCTGGATTTTTCAGGTCAGGTTAGGTCGGATCACAGGTTGATCTGACTTGATTCAGAGCTCTACATTGAAATGATTCATAGCTTAATTTTAATTGTATTAAAGCAGTAATTAAAATTAAAGGTAAGCATATTAAATATTAGTTTTGGTAGTTTAAAATTTTTAAATAAAAAATTTCGTGTTTGATATTTTATTTTTTTTTAAAAAAAAATTCAATTAATAAAGTATAAAAAAAATTTTTATATATACATAAAATTTTGAATTTTACATATAAATTCTATAAATAGTAAAAAAATCAGTAATTTATGATAGATTAGTGTAGATGACTTACAAATTTAAAGACAAGGAATTATAACTGTATGAAATAGAGTGTGAAACCTTGTTCAATGATTTGTAGCATGCAATTTTTTTTCTTCTTTATTTGTTAGTTAATAAAAATTCTTTATTTGTTTTAGCAAAATTAATAGATTTATTAGAAACTACAGAATTTTTAGTTTTCAGAAATTTCAGAAATAATGTTTAAATTAATTTGAGTAATTATTTTATCTGAATTTTTTAAGATAAATTAAAAAGATGGAAAAGGTAAAGTTAGTTGTTTTGGTTAAGTTGGTTGATCTTTACTTAAACTACTTAATCTAATAACTTTTTGGACTTGAGTAATAGTAAAATTGGTAGAGGATTTGTAAAATCTTTTTTATTTTGATGGATTTTGATTATAATTTTTTTTTTGATCAAAGAGTTCTAGTATTTGTAAATTTTAAAAAAAAAAGTTTGTTTCTTGAAAATCCAAATTGAATTCGTAATTAAATATGTAATTATTAATTTTAATTATCTTCACTATTATTATCATTGAACTCTACTTTATTATTTACAGGATTACCAAATAAATCATTAGTTCATGATTTATTATATTGTTGTATTGGCTAAAATTAAAGATTATATAATATCATTTTCATTTAATTTTGAATACTTTGATACTAAATTTAAAGTAATATCTTAATTTTTGCAAAAATCCTTTTATAATCTCCATCAAGAATCGGTAATAATCAGATTAATCTTAATAACATTTTCATTTTTTTCAATATCTGTTAATAAATTTGAATGTTAGTTATAATCTAAAAAGTAAAATCCTTTGAATTCTTTTTGTTGATTCTAATATCTTTTTAGATTAAATTGTATTGTATTATACATTCTATTTCATTAATTGACCTGAAATCATTACCATTTTTATTACTACTGCTTTCTTGAATCCACCTATATGTTTTTCATTAATATTTAATAAGATAACTGATTAACTAGAATGATAGAGTAGAACTGAGCAGGAGGTGACATGTTTTTTGAGCTAACATGTCTCTTTTCATGACACTTTTAAGCAGAAGTTTTTGTATCAATATAAGTGAAGAATCTTTAGGGTTGCTGTTGTTGTGAATTTGATTAAAGATCTCTGAAAATGGCTTCTGTTTTACTAGCGTATTTAGAGATATACTGCAAAGCCACATGAATGCTAAGTGTTGGTTTTAGATCCACATTTATGTGTTACCCCTGTAGTTATAAGCAGTTGTGAGGATTGATGTAAGGGTCATTCCTTTTAGTAATCAGGTCCGGCTACCTGTGATGATATTTACGTATGACTGTATGATCGTTGATATCTTTGGGATATCCAAATCTGCATGCTTGATGATCTCTGTTGACGCGAATGCAATATGAAGGATTACATCACGTATGGTGTTGCAACTTGTTAATAAGTTTTATGTAGTCTTGAATTGTCATATATTTTGTCTGGCATAGATGCCGTTCTGGTATGGCTGCATTTATGCATAGATTAATTGTGATAACTTTTGAATCTATATATTGTTCATTAAAGTTTCATTTTCCCAGTCGATTATAGGTGCATTCTGCACCTTTCCTATTCTATAAATGTGTAGCTTCCCCTACGTTGCCATTCATATTAAGCAGAGTTTTAAAAAAGGTCAATTTTGAAATTTCCCCCCTTATTTGTGATGGATTAGTAATATTGCCAGTTGCCTGAACGAAAACAATATATCCAAAATCAAAAATAAATCAATAAATATTGCATTTCATCGTTGCTTCATTTCTGGGTGTATCAGGATCATCTAAAAAGTATAATCAGAAGTATTATGCATTGATTGAAAGAGAAAATGCGTTATGAATGCCTTGTGTTTTAAATTCACCGACGTTGTAGGAAAAGCAAACTTTACGGATCAATCCCTAATGTAAGGTTCGTCCTAATTTACCGTTAATTTAGAATATATCCGGATCATGGTGATCATGGTATATTTACTCCTTCTTGCGTCCGACCTGTGTTTTTATTAAATCATTGTGATTGGTTAACGATAGATAATTTGGCATAATGAACGATTTTAATTAAAACAACTTAAAGTTTTCGGGTCAATATATTCAAGATATTTGATCATATGAATTATAATTTTATTACTTGGTAAAGATAAAAATTCAAATAAACTTGTTTATTTTCTAAGCTATTTATTTTACAATAATATTTTGTGAAAAGAAAATTTTTTGTTAGTTTCTCGATCATACGATTAAAAATATTTCTAGAAAACTCGCTACAACGTATAAGCAAAAAGTAAATTAAACTTATTCTTCGGAAACCACCGCGTTTTCAGCCTCGTCATCACTCTCATCCATTAATCTAATAATTTCCTCAACTATATTAGATGAACTACCAGGATTATCATCAGTTTGAGTTAAGCTCTCTAAAGCGGATATAGCCAATTCATCTTTCAATTTTTCAGTTTTCAAACATTCATCACATTTAAAATCAGCTTGCGTATTACCATAATCAGCACATTCAAAGCAACCATAAATACTCCAATTTTTTTCATGTAAATCTCCATAACACATCAGCTTCATGCTTGCTTTTTGCTGATTACAAACGTCACACCAAGGTACTTTAATTGCAGCTTTTGAATTATTTGATAATTTTTTCAACAAAAATTCTAATGAATCTTTCATACTAGGAGCCCACCAATCCTCAAAATTATGACCAACGTGCCAATATATTGTCGTAAGATTACAAATAGGTTTCCCGACGGTTTGTTGATTTTTCTCATTTTCTTCCTTTTCTTGAACATCTTCTTGTTGTTCTTTATCGCTATATAACTCTTCAAGAAGCTCTTTAAAAATTTTCATATTCATATTATCTTTATAAGTTCTTAAATGCAAACTTCTGAGATTTACACAAGTTTTCAATATAATCTTTAGACCATGTTTATTGATGTTAATATCATTAACTAATAATTCCCTTATAAAATTTTTTGTATCATTTGGTATATTACAATAGAATATATTTGATATAGTAGAGTTTGAAATATTTTTTAATGGATTTAAATTTAGTTTTGACCATAAAATATCATGATTAAATATAAAATGTTTTAAACTCTTACAAACACTTGATAATATCATCGTACGTGTTTGTAAGGATGTTAATAATAATATTTTCCCCAGTATTTCTGGTGGTAAATGAAGAAACATTTGTTTTCCTGCCGAATTTGTTTTATTCATCGTTGCGAAAGAAACTGATGATTTTCTGATTAACGCCACATAGGGACATAGGGGTTAATAATTCATGTACCCACTAATTTATCATTGGTCGAAATTATGCACATCTCCTGCGGCGAAATTTTGTAAAATCTGCCCGGCTATTCAATTATCATTTCGGCGCTATTTTCGGCCATAAAAAAATACACGTTTATTTTTTTTTCGGTAAAATCTATATTTGAAAAAATCCTTTCAACACACTACAACTAGATACAGGTGACCTTTGAAAGGATTGGTAATTTATTACCAATGATTATCCAATATTTTTCTCATTCAATATTTCCACTTAATGTATTTCACAATAAATTGCCCATTATTTAAGCAATTTATTAGAAGTATTAGCTAATTCTTTAATAGAACTATATTGGCATAAAATTTTTTTCTTTCTAAAGAACCAAGTAAAATATAATTAGAATCAAAAATTTGAGTAGCTTGAAAGAGAATGTGTGATATGTGAAGGATATTTATATTAAATTTGTTTTGAGTAATTTAAAAGCTGCATAAAAAAAATAGGATAAAGGTTTTGTGATCAAATTATAAGAAATTATATTAACAAGATCTACAATTACTTTTCAAAAAAGCAGTAAGTTAAAAAAGACATCTCATTATAAAAGAAATACTGGTTTATTTTGTTGTTAAATAAAATCAGTATCTTATATAAATTGTTTTATATTTATAGAAATAAATGAATAATAACTGAAATTATATCAAATCCATAAGAATCAAAAAGGGTTTTAAGAATTTGTTGAAAAATTAAATTTGTAAAATCATTATTTAATTCATCTTAAAAAAGAAGATTTTCAATAAGGTTAAATCTTTTAATATTTTTAATATCAAAGTTAATAAATCAAATAAAAAATTATAATTTATATGATAATAAATAGTATCTATTTAATTATTCAATAGAATATATATAACAATAAATGAATAAAATTATTTTAAAAAATATTTTTTGAAAAGATTATGTTTAATTAATGCTAAATCTATTAATATATTTGTAATGTTATTTTTTAAAAATTATAAAAAACTTAAAGAATATTTATATTTTCAAATAGATATGATAAAATAATTATATAATATATGTATAATAAAAATATTAAACTTAATAAAACTTATTGTATTTATAATTTAAATAATCATTCAAAAATAAATAATGCAAGTCCACCTTTTTAAAGATAGACAACCTTAAATTTTTTTTAAAAAATCTCATAAAAAATAAAGAATAATTGAACTATTTTACTTATATACTTTAATAAATATAAAATATTATAGTTATATTCTTTTAAATTTTTTATAATATAGTAGTAACTAATATACTAATATTATTATATATGAATTATTTTTAGAAAATTTAAGTATTATTTATAGGATATTTTATATAAAAATTAAAAAAAAATACTTAAATGAAAGCTTGATAAGATCTTATTATTATATTTAATAATTTATTTATATTTTATTTTATCATAAACAAATAATATCTGTAATAATTGTTTAGTTTTTACAAATAATATCTGATTAAATAATGATTTTAAATCAATAAATATCATCTAAAACTTTTTTTATTTTTTTCAAATAATTATATATTTCATATTAAACATTTATTTTATTATAACTTTAGAAATACATATTAATATTATAGTTAAATTTATTCTAAATAATCATTTGGAAGTAAAATTTATCAAGTTGCTTAAAAAAAAAACTTGAAAAAATTATACTAATTTAGATAAACTGAAATTTGGATTCAATAAGCTGAATTTGAAAGAAAAAAATATTTACTACTAACAAAACCTTTAGGAAATTAGTATAATTAATCAAAAAACTTGAAATTAAATATAAAATTAAAATAAAGTATAATAATATTTCTACCAATTTTTTAGCTTAATCTTTAAAATTCTAATACATATAAAATATTTAAGAATGTTTTTGCTAATATTTAATTGAGTAAAGTATTATTATTATAATTGTAAACTAAATTTATATAACAAATAATATTAAACTATTTTTTAGATATATTTATAACAAAGATTAAGATTATACATGAAGTCTAGTATTCTGCAAAAAATCTAATTTAATCTAACGGATTTGAATTTGAATTTAGATTCAATCTGTCAGATTTGGATTTAGATTCAATCTGTCAGATTTGGATTTAGATTCAGATCCGATTTGTTAGATTTGAAATAAAATGCTGTCTGAAGTCTGACGCGGCATTTATTATTAATTAAAATTTAATTTTTAATAATAAAATGTCACCCAAAAGTCAGACACAACATTTATTATTAAAAAAATTTAATTTTTAATAATAAAATGCCGCCTGAAAATCAGACACAGCATTTATTATTAAAAAATTGAATTTTTATTAATTTTTAATAATAAAATACCGTCCTAAAAGTCAGAGGCAGCATTTATTATTAAAAAAAAATTAATATTTAATAATAAAATGCCATCCTGAAAGTCGAATGCGGCATTTATTAATAAAAAATTCATTTTTATTAATTTTTTATATTAAAATGCCGCCCTAAAAGTCAGATGTGACATTTATTATTAAAAAATTCCTTTTTAAAAATTTTTAATAATTTTAATATTAAAATGTCACCCTGAAAGTCAGACGCAGCATTTATTAATAAAAAATTGATTTTTTATTAATTTTTATAACAAAATGCCGTCCTGAAAGTCTGAGATAGCATTTATTAATAAAAAATTGATTTTTTATTAATTTTTATAACAAAATGCTGTTCTGAAAATCAGAGGTGGCATTTATTATTAAAAAATTAATTTTTATTAATTTTTAATAACAAAATGCTATCCTGAAAGTCGAATGCGGCATTTATTAATAAAAAATTCATTTTTATTAATTTTTTATATTAAAATACCGCCCTGAAAGTCAGATGTAATATTTATTAATAAAAAAATTGATTTTTATTAATTTTTTATAACAAAATGCTATCCTGACAGTTGGAAGTGGCATTTATTATTAAAAAAATTAATGTTTAATTATAAAATGCCACCCCAAAAGTCGGATGTAACGTTTATTAATAAAAAAATTAATATTTTATATTAAAATGCCACCCCAAAAGTCAGACGTGATATTTATTAATAAAAAATTAATTTTTATTAATTTTTTATAACAAAATGCCGTCCTGACAGTCAGAGGCAGCATTTATTATTAAAAAAAATTAATGTTTAATAATAAAATGCTATTCCAAAATCAAATGTGATGTTTATTAATAAAAAAATTAATATTTTATATTATAATGCCGCCCTAAAATTCAGAGGCGGCATTTATTAATAAAAATAAATTTTTTATTAATTTTTAATAACAAAATGCTGTTCCGAAAGTTGGATGTGACATTTATTAATAAAAAACTAATTTTTATTAATTTTTATATTAAAATGCTGCCCCAAAAGTCAGACGCAGCATTTATTATTAAAAAAAATAATTTTTATTAATTTTTATATTAAAATGCTGTTCCAAAAGTTGGACGCAATATTTATTATTAAAAATTTAATAAAAATTAATTTTTTATATAAAAATGCTATCCCAAAAATCAGACGTAGCATTTGTTATTAAAAAAAAATAATATTTTATATTAAAATACCGTCCCGAAAGTTAGAGGCAGTATTTATTATTAAAAAAATTAATATTTTATATTAAAATGACATTCTGAAAATCGGAGGCGGCATTTATTATTAAAAAAATTAATTTTTAATAATAAAATGCCGCCCTGAAAGTCTGATGTGGCATTTATTAATAAAAAAATTAATTTTTATTAATTTTTTATATAAAAATGCCATCCCAAAAGTTGGACGTGGCATTTATTATTAAATAAATTAATGTTTAATAATAAAATGCTGTTCCAAAAGTCAAACATAGCATTTATTAATAAAAAAATTAATAAAAATTAATTTTTTATATAAAAATGCCACCTCAAAAGTCAGATGCAGTATTTATTATTAAATAAATTAATGTTTAATAATAAAATTCCACCCCAAAATTCGGATGCAGCATTTATTAATAAAAAAATTAATAAAAATTAATTTTTTATATTAAAATGCTACCCCAAAAGTCGAGGCAGATTTTTGTTAAAAAAAAATAAATTTGTTATTTTTTTTTAACATTAAAATGCTATTCCGAACATTGAAGGCAGATTTTTGTTAAAAAAACAACAAAATTGTTATTTTTAATATTAAAACGCCGTTCTGAACGTCAGAGATGGAATTTTTGTTAAAAAATAACAAAATTGTTGTTTTTTAACATTAAAACACCATTCTGAACGTTAGAGGCAGATTTTTGATAAAAAAATTTTTTGATCCATCAGATACGGATATAAATTCAGATTTGTTGGATTCAGATACAGATTTGAATTCAGATTTGTCAGATTCAGATTAAATCGGATTCAGATTATTCAGATTCAGATTGAATCAGATTTTGCCCAAATCTGATCTGATCCAATCTGTGCAGAACACTAATGAAGTCTAAATGAATCATTTCAGATGTTCAAAATGGTTGAAATAGTCAAAAAATTTTGACTTTATACCAAAGTCATAATGGTTAAAATAACATCATATCACATGATTTTTTATATATATAAAATTAAAAATTTTTAATTTATATCATTTTAAAATAACTAACATTCGATTCTTTCTAACTAGATAGATCTAATGAGATATATTATATTGATTTTTAATCAGCCAATCTTGAAATAATCATGATTGAATTATTAGCTAAAATTATAATTTAATAAATTTTACTTTAAATAAAAAGGTCCAGATTTTCAAAATACAATTGCTATTATCTTGAAATTGGCTGATTAGAAATCAAAAAATCAAAAAATCAAACTATTTTCTATTCTTAACCTATCAGTAATCAGACAAAAAATAAAAACAAAAAAAACTTCTCAAACTTATTAAAAAAACAAAAGAAATAATACTTCTTTCTACTAATGAAAATAATTTTTTTAATTCCG